TCCTGCGTTTTGCAGCCCTGGGCGTGTGAAAGCAAAGAGGAAGACAGAGCAAACACTCAGACTGTTGAGATGTGTGAGGATGGTGGCGATCGCTTTCACTACATATCCTCATGTTTTGTGGAAGTAACTGACCCATCATCCAGCAGATGGCACACTGGCAAGGGACTGTTTGTGGTATGCGTGGAAAATTCCATCAAGTTCAACTCTGCAGGCTGCATTCCTGGCTCCTCTCAGCTGGCCTCGAGAAAGTCCTGAATCTACATGCTTTGATTTGACTAAATTGGAATTCTAGCCCACTAACATGCCTCGGCTCTGACTGTAACCTTAGCATGTAGCTTGCACAGACAAACTGCTGAACTCAAGGTTATCCGCACAAGTGCAGAACAGAAACTTACCCCCAAAGTACTTTTTGCGAGTGTTTGCTTGTTTTTGACGAGCACCGATAAAGCAGAATAAAAAAATATCTTTAACAAAGCTTTTACATGTGCAGAAAGCCTTGGAATTGACCACTGAACACTGTAAAATACATGTACAGCATCTGAATACAAGTATTTAGGAAGAGGCCCTGAAAGCGTCTGAATAAACTGCAGTGCCAAAATGATCATATTCACTTTTTTTTGTTAACATATAATCATGGTACTGCTTTAGATAAGTGTGAACCTCTGCGAGCTCCTTATCTCTATTATTCGGAGCTGCTGGTAATCTTCCTGTGTGTGTTTAACCTTGTCAGGAGGGATGAAAGCCAACTTTCAACCCGCACAGTGTGTGTGTCTGCACGCACACACACACAGCAGCATTGTTGCAAACAGACACGATTTCATGTCACAATATGACTTGTCTGTTTGTCTGTTAATTAAAAAAAGCAAGAGGCAAGCTTCCAAGGAAAAGCGCGCTCATCATTACCTGCACGGGAAATCTTTTGAAGTGAATTTTTCCCTGCATGTATTTTTTACACCTCAGGTTCTTTAACAGACGTTATAAATTATGCATGCTATATTGTATGTTTTCAATGATCTATTCAAACAGACGATCAAGGAAAAATGCATAAATACATACAATGAGACGCGGAGAACAAATCTTTTAATTGACACGCTGCAGCCGAGCCACGGTTCAGACCTGCAGTAGTGACGGTGTTTGACAAAGAGCAACTTAGTTGTGGACAAATGCAGGGGGGAAAAAAAATGCTTCTGGGATGCATGGAGTTAAAAAAGTGAAACTTAACAATATAAAAAGAAATTCTTTTAAAGAAAGGAACTAAAAAGACTTCTGTAGCTAACAGCATTATCTGTTTGGTGTTACAGCGTGGTTGCATCATGCCTCTCAGAACAAAACTCCACACTCACATCTTTGCTGACAATGAACACTGAAGTTGGCAGAAATTTGCTGTGAAACGAGACAAAAGTGTGCAGTTTATGAAAAAAAAAAAAGTGAGGCAACCTCCGGGCCTCAGGCTTTTGTCAGTGGGCATTTCTATTCAATGACCTATCATGCACCAAGTATAGGCAATGATACGGCTTAGAGATGTTTCACACTGTGTCAGAAGTGTACAAGAGGTTTTTTTTTCTTTTTTTTTTGTAAATGTGCAGCTGTTACTGGCCAGCCAGACTTGAATCACTGTCACAACCTGTTTCGGCTGTGATTGTTTCTAAACAGCGTTAGACAAAGAGACCAGGACCCGAACGTCACAGCCGCTTGTTTAATTATACAGCCTGAACGGAGATCAAAGATTAACCGATAATGTGATAATGTACCCCCTATCAGTTCAGACGGGGGCATATTGATCAGCCACTCTGCGCTCTCTCTCTGTCCTCTGTAAGTGGGTCATTTATTTTTGCTAGGAATTGGTTGAGTAAAAGTTTGCCAAGGATTTGCAGTAATTATCTCATCCTTCTATAGCCGGGCACAGCATGGGGCCTTGGTAAATTACACATCTCTCTCCGAACTCCTGGATGGTTTATGGCCGTGCATTATGCATAACTGTGCTGGAGCGCCTTAAACATCCCCCAAGTGGATTGAAATAAAGTTGACGCTGCTCTTTGTTTGGAGCTCAACACAGTCTTTATTTGGCAGTGCTGAATCGGAGATTGCTGTAAAAGCGTGCATCTTAATTATTTTGGGGACGTTTTTTTTTTCTCTCTCCCCAATGGTTTACGAACACCTGGAGTGTTTTTAGTGGGATGCCGGATCCAGATGGGCGGATGCTCGGGCGATCCGCAGGGAAATGATGGTTACATTATAGAAGAGTGTTTCGCCACACAAAGGGTTAAAAAAAAAAAAAAAAAGGAGAAGAGAAAAGCAAGCGTGTTGTTCGCTGGATGATAAAGGTAACAGGCTGCCAAATGCCCCTGATGTCAATTAGTCATTAGTGTGCGATGACAAAAGGTTTCTGATTAAAGCTCAGAATTTCTGTGACTGTATTTCCTATGAAAGTATTCGATCATAAGAAATTTACAAGATATTTCAGAATAACTTTAGGAGCAGACAAGAAGCAAAGTGCTTCACTGTTTGGCAACAATAAAATACGAATACACCTGACAAAAACTGTACGTTCTAACATAGGAGGTGCTGATTATTAACAGCAATAACACCGACTAGAATGGAATTTACACCCACTTATCTTTACAGTGATAAACAAATCAGCATCATTACTCAAATATCTTATTGATGCTGTGCCACTGTTTAAAAATCAAACACAAGAAAATCCACAAATGTTTTGGGAGCTTCTGATATCAAAACTACAAAAGATGAAGAAAAGGGAGTTATACGAGACAACTCAGCTGACACCGTCACTGTTTTCTAATATATCTTACAATTATTTTTATTTACACTCTCTACCCTCCAGCCCAGCAAATGCTCCTGCTGTGCCAAGGAGTGAACGGGATGAGAAAAGACGGGGAATCCGTGGTTTGGAATCACCACAAACAAAGTTTCCAAGGTGAGTCACTGACAGTAAATGTGTGCTCACAACTCCTGAAATGAACACAACTTTTCACATGCTGTCACAGGCATCCCCGAGCCGAGAATCAGAAGCCACCTATTAGCTGGTAAACAATACATAAATTCACACCAGCTCTCCCCTCCGCGCAGGGATGAAACAAATCTACACGGTTCAAGCCTCCCTTTCATTTCACGCAAAAGCCCGCGCTGATGGTTTCAGACTAAGAAAAGCACCAAAAAAATGAAAAAAAACAAAACTCACAACACTAAGAGGCTGAGGAGTAAGAACAACAAAAAAAAGACTTAGTTTATTCTTGCCCAACTCTGAGAAATGATGCAACAGGGAGTACACATGCCTTAAATTAAATGGAGTGAGAAGAAGAAGAAAAAAAAAATCACAGCAATGCATTCAATTAATTTTCCAGGAATGTTTCACTTTGCATTTATAAGTGTGCACATCACCTGACATTTTCCAGGCATCCTCCTCTTGTCTAATTAATCACAGTACATGCAATCAAAATGGTAATTTTCAGAGAAACATATATTATTTACATATATACATCATATTAGAGCACCCAGATTTGACCTTGGCACTCAATTTCACAATGTGCACAACAACATTTTAAGCATTAATGGAGTTAAAATTCATTCACAACAACTTATATGCAGAGTGGAGATGAGCTCGCTTTAATGCAACAAGTTTTCTAATTTTTTTAAAGCAACAATCAGCCAAAAAGCAAAGAGGCACGAGCCGTTTTACGCGCACATCAGAATATGTATATATATATATATATAGAGATGTTTTTAAAAAAAAAAGGAAACTCTCAACCTACCAATTCTAGCATGCGCTGGGATTAACTGAAAAGTCACATCCAAACGCTCAACTGACTGCCTACACACTTGTGAATAATAAATCTATTAAAGCTCTTTCTTTCTTTTTTTGGTTGCAAACAAACCCCCCGATGGTGATTCGCAGCATTCTCCGTCTATGAAGTCAGCGTACCTGCAGGAAAATGTGGCTTTACAAAAGCGACAAGAAGAAGTGAAAAAGCCTGTCACATCGACCTGTCCGCATGGGCCTAATTAAGAGGTCTCTGTGTGCTGTACATGGAGGGTCTGTGTGTTAAATGCGACGGAACGATACATTGCTCAAGTCATGGAATATAAATTAGTTCTGAGAATTTCGGGGGCTGGGTTTAAGGCACCGGTGACGTATCCGGCTCGACGTCCTGTGACTGTGGACGCAACCAAACGCGGGGGGATTTGGACCCTCGTGAAACAATTCAACGTGCGATTTTAGTGAATAATATACAATTTTGTGCGCGTTTAAACGTTGAATTCGCGCTGTATTTACCGCAAAATCCTCCGTGCGTAACACGCGTCTGGAAAAGCGCTTTTTAAATCGGTTGATGTCGCCACTCTGGAAAACGCTGTCTCTCCCCTGTCCTGGCAAAGTGGTACGGTCTCGGGCTCAAATTCCGAGAATTGTGCTCGTCTGATTCTTAGAACTGGGGTTCTTAGAAGTGGTGATGCAAGAAGTTTCTAGGAAAGCGCTACCAGGTGATTTTTTAAATTCCTTTTTCCTCCAATTTGGCGCGAAGTTGTTATGTGCTCTTGTATTGCTGATGTTTTTTAAGCTGTATTGTACGTTTGTTTGCTTGTTTGGATGTGTGTTATGGAGCCGGAGCTCTTGAGTGTCTGAGACTGAACAGTGAAACTCTGGAGGGGCTGCTGCGGTGACAGCCAGCGCTGCGCCGCTCTGCTCCTGACAGATCGGCGCTGCGCTGGTGGAGGCAGCGGGGCAGACAGACAGACAGACAGACAGCAGCCTCCCACCGCTCAGACACAGAGTCATGATGTAAAGCTCTAATAGCGAGTAAAACATAATCTAACTAGAAAAAAAAAAAAAAAGAACGTAAAAAACCCCTAAAAACCCCGATGAAAACGGGGGGTTTTGCGCGCAGTCCGGTGCCCGGGTCGTGGTGCGCGCTGACCGACTGGATGTTGACGCGCTCTGATTTAACGCCACTTTGTCCGTCCAAAGTGTCAACACACGGGGACACAGTGAGGAAGCGGCGGGCTGTCACACCAACTTTGCGGGCAGCATGGCAGCCGTAGGTTCGGGGTGTGTGTCAGTGTGTTTTCTTTTCTTTTCTTTCGGTAATTTGCTCTAACGGGAGAGCATAAAAAGAGAGGCTGCGCCGAACAAGCCCTCCTGTTACCGTAACATTGTAGCGGAAATCTTCTTCGCGCTGATGGGTGTGTGTGTGTGTGTGTGAGTGTGTGTGTGTTGTTTTTCCGCGGTGGAAGCTACAGGACACGTCGTCGCACTGAACTTGTCTCTTGTGTTTCCACTGTGACTGTCAGCGCTGCTGTGTGATGAGCAAAACTAAGTTGAAAAGGTTTTCGCCGAGATGCACGCGGAGTTTGGGCACCGTTTACGCACAGGAGCAGATGTGTGTGGAAGCACTTGAAAATGTAAAATACAATGTCAGAGATGTGTGGATTTGTGGATGATGACAAAATGTGTGAAACAGTTTTCCCTCTTGATAGATTTGTTTTCTAAATGCAACTGAATTCTGCAGGTTGCTCGTCACCGGCAGGACGTCCTTATTTACCATCAGTCACTTTAAGGTGCATTCTGTCCTGCTTCTATTTTCGGACGTGTCCAGTTACACACTTAAAAAGTCTTGACATTGACTTTAAAGATGCTGTCATAAATAAAGCCGCCCGCGCGTTCTGAAGCCAAATCTGCCGTGAGTTAATTAAATGTTAGTTTTCGCTCTCATAAAGTAATTGACCCAGAAACGCACTTGGTCGTTTTGCGCTGCTGGGCTCCACAACAACACGCTGTCACCGCGTTTAGCGCAGCAACACAGGGGGAACTGTTACTTGTGTAACCTTGCAGGGCTGCACCGGGTTGTGTGGAGGACTGACTTATGGAGGACATCTTGCGGTTGAAATTTAAAAAA